GTTTACTTTCTACACGTCCCACGTGCATCCAGATTGACTCCAGGGCTCTGGATGGATCTTAGATCCATCTATTCATTCACATTCTTTTTATTTCCCTCTCCATCCTTCCCCTTATTACAGAAATAATTCAGTAGGGACTTATGTAAACAACACAGATGCTCCAAAGCTAAAGCTAATTAATGTGATCTGTAGTAATTTGCACAGTTCTTAATATTACATTTTGATTATAGAAAACTTACCTTCTGGGGTGCTCAGTCTAGTCAACCACACCAGCCAGAGCTTTGTGGTTATTTTAAATGGTGTCCCAGAGAAGCAAAGCGGTATCTTATGGCCGGTATCCTAAACCCACGTCCTTATCTAAACGTCCCGATTCTTCGATTCTTCGCGTGAACAGGGCGGGCAAACAGGAAAATGCCTAGGCAGTAACTCAGAAAAACTAGATGTTGCTCCGGTGCCCAGGGACAAGAACTGCACAGCCATCTGGGAAGCCTTTCACGCGGGGCTGGAGAAGGACCCCTGTTCTGTTTCTCTCCGGCTACGACCTTTTCGTAAACCTCTCCAGGCACTCCATTCCCAGAGGCAAGTCCCTGTTCTGGGAAAACAACCAGTTCCTTGTTACCAGCTCTGTGGAGAACCCCCGTCGCTTTGCGCCTGTGAGCCACTTTTGCTCCTCAGGGTCGGAGATCTGCTGAGCTGGTGTCGCCAGGAAAACGCCTCCGGACTCCATTACCAATCCTGCCCTACATCAGAGGATTGCGAAAACAATGCTGCGGATTCTTTCTGGGACAGGGCTTCCATGCAGTACGCAAAAGATAGTTCTGGCGTGCTCCACGTCATGCTGAATGGATCGGAGCCCACAGGAGCCTATCCCATAAAAAGGTTTTTGATTTGTATTGTTTTGTTTTTCCAGATTTTGAAGTTCTCTATTTCCAGAAGGATAAAATCACACTCATTGAGATCTGGGTTATGCATGATATCGGGGGACCCAACCTGGAATCCTGTGGAGAAGACAGTGTGAAAGTCCCGGAGGAGAGATGGAAGGAAATGGGTTTTCGGTACAGCTGTATTAATGATCACCTGCCAGTGAAGCTCTTAAAGTGCCTGGACCACAGCACTCATCCTGACAGTGCGTTAAAGCGCTTTGAATTCTGAGTCACCCACTTCAAAGAGGCGTCTGTGTCTACCACAGGTATCTGCAAGACATTGCCAGCCACTGACTGAAGAGCCAGCACCCAACCCCATTTTGAGTCCCCTGTTTACCCAATAAAGAGTGAGCCCCTGGAACCCTAAACCCCCGCCCATCATGACCCCAGTCAAAGCAGAACCCTAGAAGTGTGTGTTCTCTACTCACAACCCACGACCTCGCTGTGTGGCCCCAGGTGTGCCACCTAATTTTCAGGTCCAGAAAGCAATAAACTTTTTTTTTCCAAAAAGAAAAGAAAACTTACCTTCTGAATTATACTTCTTTCAGACTATTTTAACTTATTTTTACTTTCTGTACACACACAGTGTAGTAGCAGGAAAAGTGCTTCCAGAGCATGGTTTGGGAGAGGCCATCCAATATTTAAAAGTGGCTGTGGACAAGGTACCCTTCAAATTGGGTTTGAGATTTCCTTCTGAGAATGAAGTGTGAACAGGGCGGGACAGCTGGAAAATGCCTAGGTGGCATTTGAAAATTTGAATAATCAAACCTTGATTAATGGGATTGGTAATCTTTAACAATAACATAGACAGAGAAGATCTTTTAGCATTTGATTAGCAATGAAGTAATACCCCAAATCCAATCAAGGTGACCTGGCTATAATTTTAGAGAACAAGACTTCTACACATATGACTAAATATTAAAAAGCATAAACCTCACCAACCGTAAGGGCTCTTTTGAAGACAGTATGATTGGGGGTGGAGAGTGCATGGTGGTCATAGTAATCACTGGGACAGGGGAGTGGAAAGCAAGTGTTGGTCATATGTCTCCAAGATGGAGCAGAACATATGGTCTTAATCGGCCAACATTCAGTTTACATGAGCATACTTATGCCTATGGATAATATGTGTATCAGGTGAAAACCATTAAGGTTATCCAGCCAGACCCTGGTGCACTCCCTGTGCCACCTGCCCTGGTTTATTTGGCTGCAGGTGTACAGGTTTACCTGCAGGCAGCCTTACTTGATGCCATTCCTCCAGTCTCATAACACCTATGGGGCCTTTAGAAGTCATTTAGTTTAACTTCTTCTCAATATACACTGACTTCTTTTCATTTTTTTCAATTTTATTTATTTATTTTTAGAGAGAGGGAAAAGTAGGGAGACAGAGGGAAACATCAATGTGTGGTTGCCTCTTGCACACCACCTACTGGGGACCTGGCCTGCAACCCAGGCATGTGCCCTGATTAGGAATTGAACCAGCGATGCTTTGATTCACAGGTCAGCATTCAATCCACTGAGCCACACCAGCCAGGGCACACCCTGACTTCTTACCACTTCCCACCTCAGGCCCACCATTCATCATTATTTTTTAAAATTATATTTTATTGTTTATGCTATTACAGTTGTCCCAGTTTTATCCCTTTGCCCCTCCTACCCAGCCCACCCTTACTCTCTCATGCAAACCCCACACCGTTGTCCATGTCCATGGGTCATGCATATATGTTCTTTGGCTACTCTGTTCTCTGTACTCTACTTTACATATCCACAACTATTCTGCAACTACCATTTGTACTTCTTAATTCCTCCACATCTTTCACCCATTGCCCCAAACTCTTCCCATCAGGAAACTGTCAAAATATTCTTTATGTCTATGATTCTGTTTTGCTTGTATTTTTTATTTTAATTTTTGGATCCAATTGTTGGTAGATATAATTTATTGCCATTTTATTGTTAATATTGTTGATGTTCTTAATGGATTCTCTTTAACATTTCATATAATATTGGCTTGGTGGTGATGAGCTCCTTTAGCTTTTTCTTGTCTGGGAAACTTTTCATCTCTCCTTCCAGTCTAAATGATAGCTTTACTGGGAAGAGTAATCTTGGTTGTAGGTCCTTGTTTTTATCATTTTGAATATTTCTTGCCAATCCTTTCTACCGTGTAAAGTTTCTGTTGAGAAATCAGCTGACAGTCCCTTATAGCCTTGTAGGTAACTAACTTTTTCTCCTGCTGCTTTTAAGATTTTCTCTTTATTATTAAACTTTGGCATTTTTATGATGGTGTGTCTTGGAGTGGGCCTCTTTGGGTTCATCTTGTTTGAGATTCTCTGTGCTTCATGGACTTGTATGTCTATTTCTTTCACCAGGTTAGAGAAGTTTTCTGTCATTTTTTTCAAATAGGTTTCCAATTTATTGTTCTCTCTCTTCTCCTTCCAGCACCCCCATGATATGAATGTTGGTATTCTTGAAGTTGTTCCAGAGGCTCCCTACACAATCCTCATTTTTAATTTTTTTTTCTTCTTGCTGTTCTGATTGGTTGTTTCTTGCTTCCTTATCTTCCAAATTTTTTATTTGACTCTCAGCTTCATTTGCTGTACTGTTGATTCCCTGTAAATTGTTCTTTATTTCAATTAGTGTATCCTTTGTTTTTGACTGGATTTTTTTATGCTGTTCAGGACCTCACTAAATTCCTTGAGCATCCTTATAACCACTGTTTTGAACTCTTTATCTGGTAGATTGCTTATAGTTCTTTTTCTGGAGTTTGTTCTGTTCTTTCATTTGAGCCATGTTTCTTTGTCTCCTTGTTTTGGCAGCCTCCCTGTGTTTGTTTCTGTGTGTTAGGAAGAGCTGCTATATCTCCCAGGTTTGGTAGAGTGGCCTAATGTAGTACTTGCCCTGTAGAGTCCAGTGGCACAGCCTCCCCTATCACCCAAGCTGGTACCCAAGGTGCACCCACCGTGTGGGCTGTGTACAACATCCTGTTGTAGCTGAGCCTTGATTGCTGTTAGCGCATCCAAGGTCAGCCTCTACTTGTGTTCTTTCCAGGGTCACACAGCATAAGCTACAAAGAGATCTGCAGATGGCTGCTACTTTTGCTGGGCTTGGATGTGCCTCGGCTAGGCCAAGAAGTAAACCAAGGCTTGCTGCTGCTAGTGCCGTGCTAGGGCAATTTAGAGAGAGGTGCAGGGCTTGCTGAAGCCAGATGCTGCTTGTTTGAGAGAATTTAGGAAAATCTGAAGCATGGGCCAAAAGAAGCTGGCAGACCCAGAAGTTGGGTGGGGCTGGGCATCAGGGAATCGCCTGGGTAGGACAAACAATGTGAGCTAGGTTGAGGATATTGTGCCCACCTGTGGGCTCTGGCCCAGAAAAGGAACAATGGCCTCTGCCAGCACTTCTGTCTGGGAGAAAGCTGCCCCACAGATCTTGCTCTAATCTTGCACAATTCACTTCTTCCCCATATGTCTTTAATGCCTTTCAATCTGTTATCCCCATGTAGAGCTCAGAGGGAGTCCAAATAAGTCTGTGTGCTGGCCCTTTAAGAGGAACTGCCTGGGACTCCAGTAGTTTGTCTTCCACAGCCCCAGTCCCTGCTGGTTTTTACAACCAGAAGTTGTGGGGACTTATCTTCCTGGCACTGAAACCCTGGGCTGGGGTGCCTGGTGTGGGGCTGGGAGCCCTCACTCCTGAGATATTCCTCCCGATTTTCATCTGCCACATGTGGGTGGGACCAGCCCGCTCCACGTCTCTGCCCTACCTTTAATTCCATAGTTGTAGGACTTCCATTCAGCTTGATTTCTGATGGTTCTGAATGATGGTTGTTCCATGGTTAGTTGTAATTTTGATGTCATTGTGTGAGGAGAGCTGTTTACCTACATCACCATCTTGACCAGAAATCTGTCATTCTTTTGAATAAACTTGTCTATCCCTGAGTAAATTTTCTCTCCCAGCTGCAGTTCCAAGGTTTTATTAGGAGAAACTCTTCAGGTCTCTTTTAAGGCTCCTGAATACTAAACCCACTTTTATGAAGTAAATATGTTCTCATAAGATTATTTAGAGGGGGACAGGAAACGAATACAACTGTTATTTTAACTTCTTTATTTATCAATAGTATCCAAAAAAAATTAGGAGTTACAAAAACAAGTTAAATGCAGTATGGAAGCCTACTAAATACAAATACATTTCACAAACACATAGGCAACAAAACCTGTTCAAATTGCTTCTTGAAATTTGGCTATTTTAAAACATAGGTGTAAAGACATTCAAACTGGTTCACATGAACTTATTAGCAGGTGGAGGAGCCCTGCTTTCCAAAAACAATGAAGTCCAGTGTCATGGCGTGTGAAGTTTTCATGGACACTGGATCTTAGCAGGTGCTGTAATATATGGTTTTATAAAACCGTATGCACACAGAGAAAGCCCAAAGAAGCTTGCAGACTAAGCCCCGTGCTTTTAGAGAGCTGGGGGAACTGAACCCAACTTAATCCTGATTATTTGCTCCATGCAAGACTACAAATTTGGCTGTTTAGCAGCTTTCCATGAATGGTCATCAGATCATATGATTCTATGGTGCAGACAAGAGCTTCCCTATTTACAGGAGGAATACAGATTTGCTTTTGGGAATTCGTTGTTGCAGAGCAGGGTAAGTCTTGGGTAGCAACCACTGTCCCAAATAACTTGTGAGGAGACACTCTGGTTTCTTGCTTTAAACAAACTGGTAGTCCTGCTCTCCCTCCCTTAGCATCCAAGTGCTGGCAAACTTGATCAAGGCATGTTGCTGGGGGTTCCCAAGGCACTTGGACAGGGAGGTGCATTTCAGACTGCACAAGTGGGGTTTGAAGGGAGCTTTTAAGTGGGATGATAGATAAAAGCTTAGAATTCTAAACAAAGTGGGATGTTCTCTTTGCAAAAGAGAACAAGGAAACTTATTTAGAAGAAATTCCATTTTCAGTACAACTTTCATCAATCCACATATTTTCCCTCTGGTGGTCTATAATCTACGTTTTGAAAATCAGAACTTATGTCAAGTGTTTAATCTTTGTTGTTCCAAATGCATCTTAAATACGGTACTGGGTAGGGTAAATAACTACACAGGCCAAAGACATAGGAAGGACTGACTTCTCATCTATCACAATTTTAAGGTTAAATTTCCACTCCTCGCCTCTTGAAATGTGAAACCTCCCTTTTGTCCTCATCTCTAAATGGAAAGCCATTTCTGTTTCCAAGAAGGTTAAAGAGGAAATGCTAAAGTGAAGACAAGTGGAGTGGTTCTCTTCCCCACTCTTTTCCAGGGCTTTACCTGAGAGGGCTCTGCATCACAGCACACCCAAGGGGCCATTCAGACTGAGGTCAAATTTGGTCATCTTGTTTTGGCTGTCTAAATCTTGTTCTAACAAATATTCATTTATCCTAAGGAGGAAAGGAAAATCATAGAAAGTTGTCTCCAATGGATCAATGATCATAGACTTTATGAAATCGAAAGGTTCATGCATTCCTGCCTGCTCACTGAAGCTGAGGCCCGGAAATAGGAAGAGACAGAGCCAAAGTCACTCTCCTAGTCAGTGGTGGACCAATGAGCATATTGACAGGCCGAGATACCTAAGCCTTGCTTAGCCACACTTGTCTCCATCCTTGAAATACTGATTTGAATGAACTCAGAATAAATGAAAACAAATTAGCTTTTGGATCTTGAAAGCTTTGTATGGAGATGCTTCTATTCCCCTGGCTCCTGTCTGAGGCACCCACAGCTCCTCCAGCAGACCACTGACCCAATGGAAGCCAGGGGGACGAACTCTGGGCTACAGCTAGTGTGTGGCAGGGCAGGAAGTCAGAGTGACAGCAGTCCTGCACCTGGAACAACCCCAAGTTCCCCTACCTCTGAAATGGTAGGACTATGGAAAAATAATTACAAAAGCTTAATTTCTAGTCAAGAAAACAAAATATTAAAAAACAACAATAATATAATGATAATAATAAAAAAATGAAGTCAACTTGCCAAAAAAAGTTTTACAGAAAAATAGCACCTTTGGTAAAAAGTATTTTTAAAATTTGGTTAGGTCTCTAAGGGGCTGAGAGTACACCAGTATCTGCATCATTTGGGTGTACCTTCCCAGAAACTCCATCAAGTCTGAGGGACACAGTAACTAGGCAGGACAGCTGTGTATCTACAGGCAGTGGTCAGGCCATGAGGAGAGGCAAAGAAGCTGGTCTCTGTTATGCTGATGGCAACCAAAAGAGTGGGAAGTGGAATGCTTCTCCTCCACTGAGCTTCCCAAAGCCCTCCTCTAGGTACCATCTGCTAAGTTCTCTCTGGCACTGCTTGCCCTCCCTGCAGCATGTTAGACTCAGAAGTGGTTCAGATCTGGGTCTGCTCCTCTCCCTACCCTGATGCAGCTTCTTTACTTGCCTCCAGCCCCAAAGCCCCATTTATAGTTTCTCTCAAATCACTCCTAGAAATGGAGGTTATGGCCTTTCCCCTCCTCACCAGCCACCCCATTTCCTTTATTGCAAAACAAATAGACAAAATAAAACTTGTTGCTATACAAGCAAATACTGGTGATTTGGCGATTGTAGCAGATTCATGTATACTGGATTCAGCGCTGAAGTGGAGGAGAAGGTGCCCGTCTCTGGACACCGTTCCCAGATGCCCCCTCACTAGATCTCTTTGGTGCTCACTCTCTTGGCCTTTTCGGCAGTTTCCTTCAAGAAGCAAGAGAAAATAAGTGTTATGAAATATTTTTTAAATCATTAGCATTTATCTAGACCTCAAGACTTTATTTAGCATTGACAGACACATGCTTATGCTGAATGAATTTTAGTTCTGTTTACTAGTCCATCTCCTCTGTGGATGGCACACAACTTCACGGCAAGGATCATGTCTTATGAAGACATGGTTGTCTAGGGGCCGACCCCACTGGGATTCCTATGAAACAATCAGTTCAGGCATGATTAGCCCCACTTTCAAGATGAAGAGAAGGATACAAAACAGAAGTAAGTGCCACAAGATGTCCTGAGTCCAAGTACAGAGAAGTGTTAAGAGCAACAGGCTCTGGAGGCATAATGCTGGAACTTCAGTTATGGCTGTGCTGTGTTCCGGAGGATTTGGAGCCTATTATGAAACCTTCTATGCCTCAGTGTCTTCAACTACAAAATGAGGGTAATAAGGTACCATCTCTTACAACTGTGATACATCTGTCCAAAAAATACATTCTTCTTTTTTTAAAAAAGTATTTTATTTATTTATTTTTAGAGAGAGGGGAAGGGAAGGGGGAGAGAGAGAGAGAAACATCAATGTGTGGTTGCTGGTGCTCAGTTCACTGAGCCACACCAGCCAGGGCAGAAGACATTCTTTTTAAAGCCAATGAGCACATGAGGAGATACTCAACATCAATCATTAGGCAAATATAAATAAAAACTACAATGAGATGCCAGTACACTAGGATGGCCAAAATAAAAAAAGAATGATGGACAATGTTGCCAAGTTTGTGGAGAAATTGAAACACTGCTGGTGAGGAAGTAAAATGGTGTCACTTTGGAAAACAGACTGGCATTTCTTCAGAAGATAAACAGAGTTACCAAATGACCCAGCAATTCCATTCCTAAATATGTACCCAAGAGAAACAAAGCTTGCACAAGAATGTTCACAACATCATTATTCATCATAGTCAAAAAGTAGAAAGCTAAATATCCATCAACTGATGAATGGATATATACTACGTGGTATATCCATACCATGGAATATAATTTAAACTTAAAATAGAATAAAGCATGTATGTCAACTAATTGAAAAAAATTTAAAATTAAAAAAAGAAATGAAACACTGATTGATGCTACAATAAGGATAAACCCTGAAAACATTACACTAAATGAAAAGAGGAAGACAGAAACACTACATATTGAGTAATTCCACTTATATATGTTCAAAACAGGCAAATCTTAAGTTAAAAAGTAGATTAGTGGTTGCCAGGGAAGAGTGAATATAGTGACTTCTAATGGGTATGAGGTTTCTTTTGGAGATGATGAAAATGTTCTTGTGGCTGACAATCTTGTGACTATGCTTAAAACCACTGGACTGTACATTTCATTATCTTTTTAAAAAAACATATTTTATGATTATGCTATTACAGTTGTCCCAATTCCCCCCCCCCTTTGTCCCCCTTCACCCAGCACCCCATACTCCTTGGGTAATCCCCACTGTTCATGTCCATGGGTCATGAGTATAAGTTCTGTGGCTACTCAAACCCCATGGCTATTCTGTAACCACCTATTTGTACTTCTTAATCCCCTCACCTCTTCACCCATTCTCCTAAAACTCCCTTCCATCTGGCAGCCATCAAAACCCTCTCCATATCCATGATTCTGCCTTCTTGTTTGCTTAATTTGTTTTTCAGATTGAACTGTTAACAAGTATGCATGTAATTGTTCATAGCTTTGATTTTCTTTTCTGAAATCCCTTTAACATTTCATATAATGGTTTGGTGATGATGAGTCCTTTTTAAAGATTTATTTATTTTTTCAGTGAGAGGGAAAGGGAGGGAGGAAGAGAGAGAGAAAAAAAAACATCAATGTGTGGTGCCTCCCAAGCACCTCCCATGGGGGATCTAGCCCACAACTCAGGCACGTGCCCTGAATGGGAATTGAACCGGCAACCCTTTGGTTCACAGGCTAGCCCTCAATCCAGAGCCACACCAGCCAGGGCTGGAAGTGCTTTTCTCTTGCTGCTTTTAAGATTCTCTCTTTAACTTTTGGCATTATAATTATGACGAGTCTTGGAGTGGGCTTCTTTGCATCCATCTTGTCTGGGACTCTCTATGCTTCCTGGATTTGCAAATCTGTTTCCCTCACTGAATTAGGGAGGCTTTCTTTCATTATTTTTTCAAATAGATTTTCAGTTTCTCATTCTCTCTTCTCCTTCTGGCACTCCTATGATGTGAATGTTGGAATGCCTGAAGTTGCCCCAGAGGCTGCCTATAGTATCCTCATATTTTTGGATTCTTTTTCCTTCTTGTTCTGATTGGTGGTTTTTTGCTTTCTAATGTTCCAAATCATTGATTTGATTCTCAGCTTCATTCACCCTGTTTCCTGTAAATTGTTCTTTCTTTTAATTGGTGAATCCTTCATTTCTGAATGGATTTTTTTTTATGCTGTTGAAGTCCTCACTAAGTTCCTTGAACACCTTTACAACCAGTGTTTTTGAAGTCTGTATCTGATATATTGCTTATCTTCATTTTGTTTAGTTCTTTTTCTAGAGTTTTGGTTTGTTCTTTCATTGGGGCCATGTTTCTTTGTCTCTTCATTTTGGCAGCCTCCCTGTGCTTGTTTCTGTGTATTGGGTAGAGCTGCTATGACTCCCTGCCTTGGTAGCATGGCCTAATGTAGTAGGTGTTTTGTAGGTTCCAGTAGCACAGCCTCTCCTATCACCTGAGCTGGGTTCTCATGGTGTGCTCTTTGTGTGGGCTGAGTACACCTTCCAGTTGTAGTTGGGCCTTGACTGCTGTTGGCAGCTGATGGGAGGGATTTACCCAGGCCCATCAGTTGCAAGGATGGACTGTGACCACTGACCACCAACCTCCACCCTCCATGGAGGATCTGCTGTTCAGGGGCAGGGTGGTGGTGCTCTGATGTGGTTCTGTAGCTGTCCACTGGGTGCACAGGCCCTAGGGTTTCCTAGGTGGTGCAGACCAAGGTCAACTCCTACCTGTGTTTTGCCAGAGACCACCCTGCCTGAGCTATAGAACAACCTGAGATGGCTGCTACTTGTGCTGGGCTAGATTACCAGGTGAAGCCAAGCTACACATCTACACTGGCAGCTGCTAGTGCCAGGCCTGGTGCCACTTGGCAAGAGGTACGAGGTAAGAGGGTTGGGGGCTCACTGAAGCCCAGCTGATGCTTGTTTGAGAGGATTTAAGAAGTTGTGAAGCATGAGCCAAGACCAGGCATTCATATGGAAAAGCTACTGTTAACAGCTGTAAGTTGGGTGGGATGGAGTCTCAGGGAACTTCCAGAGTTGAGGTGGGGGGCAAACAGTGTTAGCCAGGTTGATGGAGTCTCAGACATGGCACCCACCTGCTGGCTCTGTGGCTGTGTCCATCTTTCCGTCTGAGAGAAAGCTGTCTCCCAGCTCTCACCTTGATGCCAGCCACTTCAATTCCTCCCTGTCTGCCACTGGTGCCTTTCAAGCTGCTACCCCGGTGCTGGAGCTCAGAGGGAGTGAGTCTGAGTAAGTTTGTGTGTGGGTTCCTTCAGAGGAACTGCTTGGGACTTTAGAAGTTTCTTCCACCGACTCAATCCCTGTTGGTTTTTGCAGCCAGAAGTTGTGGGGGCTTATCTTTCTGGCATTGGAACCCTGGGCTGGAGGCCTGATGTAGGGCTTGCACTCCTCACTCCCAAGATGTCCCCTCTGAATTTTCATCCACCACACATGGGTGAGGGACCAGCCTGTCCAAGTCTGTGCGCCTCCTACCCATCTGGATGGATGTGGTTTCTTTAATTCCATAGTTGTCAGAGTTCCACTCAACTTGATTTCTGACAGTTCTGAGAGATGGTTGTTCTATAATTTAGTTGTAATTTTGATGTGGTTGTGCAAGGAGGCAAGCCGTATTTACCTATGGCACCATATTGACTAGAAGTCTCCTTGTAACAGGGTGTAGCCAGGGGGCCCCAAAGAGGGATTTGTAATGGAGTCCATAACTCAGGGTGTTCAGGAAATATTAAAAAAATATAGGATGTCCTCACCCCCACAAGTTTGAACTGGGGGATGGGACACATGGAGCAGGGTCATTGAGAGTTGTTCTGCATAGCAAATAACCAGTTTTGCAAATAAGCTCAGGCATGGTCATTTAACATATCTATAACTTTTAACTGGTTTCATGGATATGTTAAATAGCTGTGGCCCTGCTTTAAGCCAGGGAAATGGGAATGACTTCAATCCATGATATAACTGGGAGGCAACTCCCCCCGGTTATAGCACCTGCATAAGAGCTTGGAGATGATTGGCTTCTTGCCACAGGGCCACGCCTGCTGGGAATTATGACAGCCAGAAAAGTTGGGAAAAATACAGGAATGCTGGCAGGTGTAGCTGATTGTGGGAGGAGTCAGAAATGGGGATGCAGAGGAAAACTGGTGCTGGGATTTAAACTCAGGTGCAGCAGCCATGCAAGGGGTGGGGATCACACGGCTTTGGTGAAAGGGAGAGGATGATGGTGCTTTGGTGAGAGGGAGGGGACGATGGGGCTTTGGTGAGAGGGAGGGCTTTGGTGAGAGGGAGGGAACGATGGGGCTTTGGTGAGAAGGGTACCCATGCATCTTTGGCAAGAAGGGAGAACCATGCGGCTTTGGGGCTCCCTTTGCCATGAAGCTTAGGAAGCTGGAAAGCAAGATATAGCAGCGATGCAGAGCTCTCTCTTAGCAGTTTGGAAGAATGCAGGAGACACACTGTAGGAAGGAAAGAGGTAAAGGACTCTTGCTGGTGGGCCAGGAGAAGGTGCCCCATCCAAACATGGGTTTGGATTAAGAATTGGAGATCAGGGTGGCGACACAGCTGATGGTTCTGGGAACTGAGGGAGGCCTGCCAGCAGGGCACGGATTACTGGGAAAAACCAGGGGCTGCCTGAGCCACAGACTTCTATTTCTTTTCCTGAGATACAGTATCCCAGACTGGGCAAAGGAGGAATGACTGTGTGTGCTTGTGGGTGTTTTAAGGGGCTTTGGGATTTTAGTAAGACATTAAGTCATTACTCTTAAGTCTGTGTAACTTCTTAAGTAAATAATTCCTTTCCTTTTCACCAATCTCTGACATTGAGACCTATAATCCCCTGGCAGTGGGCAAGGTGAACCTAATACAGGGGGACCCCAGCAGGAAGGGGGGTCCATTCAGTAATAGTATTTTGTCCTCCCCATGGGTCCATCGGTAACACCTTGTTAATCTGAACTGTACATTTTAAAGATGTGAATTTTATATTTGAATTATACTTCAACAAAAGAATTAAATAGGAAAGAAAATGATGAAACTGACTGGCATCTGGCAGACACTGTTGGTGCCCCATCCATAGCCCCTTGTCTTTACTCTTTCAGGTCACTGAACTGGCTTCTCACTGCCAGCACCTGCCTCCTTCTCTGGCAGCAGGAGCCTGCTCTGCTCACACACGTAGGCAGGCCAGAAGTGCCAGGTAATTGATGTTTGCCTATGGCATCAGCCCTCGCTAGGGGCTGACAGGAATTCATGTAGGAATTCCTTCAGGCATGGTAACTGTTCCCGGAGTTCCACACCAGAACTAAGCTCCACTTGCCTGCAGTGATAAACCTCCTGGATACACTCTACTGCTTCCTTCCCTTCCTGAGCTCAGTTCTCAAATCCCCTCCTGGTGTTTCCTGGGATTGCCTCCCAAATAAACTGTGTGTACTTGAGTCCTTGCTGTAGTATCTGCTCCTGAGGGAACTTACATAGACAGAGACACTTAAAAATGAAGGATAGGAGATTCTGCTTTGGTTAAAAAAACTGACATGAGATTTCTACACTATTAGTGACAATAATGACAAAATGCATATAAAATCAATAAATATGAGCAATTACTATTAACAATTCTTTATTTTCAAGTCAAATGTTTCACCTCAATAGTTTACCAGTTCTTATGATGGTTGGTTATATTCCTTAAAAACTACATCAGGGCCCTGGCCAGTGTAGCTCAATTTGTTGTAGCATTGTCCTGTCCTGTAAATTGAAAGGTCATGGGTTCGATTCCTGGTTAGATAGAGACTGATCGATGTTTCTATCTCACATAGATGTTTCTCTCCCTCTTTTGCCCTCCCTCTTCCTCTCTCTAAAATCAATAAGCATGTCCTCAGGTGAGGATAAAAAAAAGTAAAGCAAAAACAAAAACAACTTACGTGTCAGAGAGAAGGCTTGTATTACCAGACCCAGTCTACACACAGGTGATTTAAAGTACAATATCCTTCGTTAAGACTTTATGGTAAACTAGTGGGCAGACAGGCCCAGGAGTCCAGCATACCCATGTTTTCTCTATAGGATCATAGCAAAATATGTCAGTGGGTCACTATTCTGCTAAGAACCTTTTCCCCAAGAAGGCCTTCAACTTGACATAGAACCTGAACAGAATTCTCATTATCTTCTCAAGTCTCCAGGAAACAGAACCTTGAAGTTTCCTGTGTTTGTCAGTCCAGGCTGTTTTTCAGCCAGTTTAGCATTTAACATAAATCCTTTCTGCTCTAGTCCAAATCTGTTCATTTTATGTTCACTGAGAACCAACTATACACCCAACCCTGTGGTAAATACAGGGATGCAATGGTGAGCAAGCCATAGAGCTTTGCCTTCAGGAATTTATGGTTTTTGTGTCTGGGCACTTGTGACAGAAAACAGTAAACTTCTTTAGTCCTTCCTCATTTGCAAACCATTTCCAACCCACCTGCAAATCACCAGCTGACTGATTTTTACTTATAAAGCAATTCTGATAGGACCTGCAGGACCCTGCAGGGACCCCATCAGAGAGGTGTATCGTGGTTTGCTGTTATAGGTTTATCATTCAGGGTCTGTTGCACTGAAGAGAGTGCATCTTTTTGGTCTCCTGGGCTATTAGGCAATGTCTGAATGGTGGAAGGGCCTGGTGGTGGCAAAGATACCTGAATCAGCAGGGAGGCTGCAACTCACCTGGTGCTTTTGGAGCTCCTGGACATATCTTGTCATCTCCTCCTCTGTCTGAGTCTGGACCCCCTTCTGATTTTTTCCTGCAAGAAGAACCAAGGCTCAGAGCAGAGGTGGCTGAGGGAAGCCAGTTAGGGATCCTGTTGGTATCTACTTTCTAGGTTCTTAATTTTACCTCCCATTTAATTCACTGAAGAAGAGTGAATTACTCATATTTCTCTGCCACCTCCAAAGCAACACACTGAAAACAAAACAATCTACCCCTACTGTTTTCTGGCCTCTGTTTCTAGTGTCTTCAACACTTTCTAGTGTCTAGAGTCTACCGCACATCTGCTCCAGGAACTGGCCTTGCAGAAATAGCTGCAGAGAAAATCTGGATCCTGACTCTGGAATTCTTCTGGGGCAATGATTCCCTACCATTCACAGACCCTTGAGAACATTTAAAATACAGTTGCTTAGACTACATCTTCAGAGACTCTGGTGTCACTGTTGTGAGGTGGGGCTGGGGCACAGCATCCTAGAAAGCTCTCAAGGTGGTTCAGATGGGCAGTCAGGGTCGGTAACACCACAGCTACAATGCTTACCAAACTTGCACACACACACAAAATTACAGCCTATATCTTAAAAACAGGTTTCCAAATTGCTCTTTGGCAGATTCTGACTCAGGAGGTTTGGGATGGAAGCCAGGAATCTAGACATTAACTGAGAACAGAACTTATTGGGAAACACCACTCCACTACAGCTTGACTTAAGCATCAAGCTGCCCCTCCTGGCGATCTCCCTCAGTTCCAGCTCCAGCTGGCGTCACATCTCAGTGCCCCTTCTTTTCTACGCCATTGGGATTTAGGATCTAACTGTCAAGTATTGTCCTGAAAATGCCTTGGAATGCCACCTCTACAGTGTCCTCTCAGATCCCTGGCCCACACATACCAAGACATGCTAAGGCCCCTGGGGCGCCACCACGGACAGTGAGTGCTCTTTGTACCCACATAGGATTCTGAACCCGGGGCCACCCAGGGGGCGTCAACAGTCCAGTGCTGCTGTGGAACTGAGCAGTGTCCCATGGGGGCAATCATTTGGATTTTGTCTGATGCATGTGATGGGTCTCATTATCCAGATGATCATACCAGCTGTTCACCAACTGCCTGTGTCGTAGAAATGGATGGCTACCTCTGCTAAGCCAGACCAGGAGCAGTTAGGCGTGGACAGCTACAGTGGAGAGTTTTAGGAAGACAAGTACAGGGTGCTTCCTGGTTGAGGCAGGCTGAGTACTGTTTTGAGACGTTCTCTCTGGGCTTCAGTAGTTCCTGTGTGCTTGGCCTGGCTACCTTGGCTTTGATTTGGCCTCCAGCAACTTCTAGGCATTTCTAGTCTCTAAACAGCCTCTTCCTGCTCTTTTATTTGTATCTGGAGTTAGATTGGCCTCCTGCCCTTTCACACCGAGAAGAGACTCAGTCCTGGGGAGTGGGAGACGAGGGATCCCCTGGGTAGTACTGAGTTCCATGTGTACTATTGGTGTTGTCTGGGCTTTTTGTCTAGAACCACCTCTTCTTGGATCCTCCTCCTCCAGTTAGTTACCAGATTATGTGACCTTGAACATGATCCTAGGACCAGCCTCCTTTTTTTCTTGTCTCAGTTGGCTTTTTAAGATATAATTTTAAGTTCACTCTAGGTATAAATTTTGTGCTTGATTTCTTCCAACTGACCTTTCTTCCCAGAGCAGATGTGACCTGGCTTTACCCTTCTCTGTCTTGCCTTCATTCTAAATGGTGCTTGTTTTCCCCCCTAGGTCCTGGCTTTAGTCTTTGACATCATTGTACCCCAGGACCCCGAAGGGACCCTCGTGGTTCCAACATACACTCTGGCTTCTGCCCTGGTCCCCCAAACTCTCTGTATCCCCAACCCACCCTGCACATGTCTCAAACACCTTGACTTTCTCTTTTTCAAAGGAACATCTAATTCTGTTAGTCCAAAGAAGGTCTACAAACATATTTCCTTTTCCTCTTGAGAATGGGTGGTGAGGAGGAGTCTTTTCATCTCCAAATGCCTGAGTCTTTTACATAGGTTTTCTAAGCTGTCATAGGGATTAATTGGGTTACATAAAGTGCTTAGAAGAGCCCCTGGCACACTGTCCTCACTAACTAAGTGTGTGCTCTCATTATGACCATTACTATTCCAATCTCGTATCAACATTGGATCTTGCCCTGGGTCTTGAACCTCCTGCTAACCAGGTTCCTTGCTCCCAGCTACCACCTTACTCTTCTCCGTCACCCCCACCCTGACTTCTCTTTCATGGTCATTTTAAGAAGGACACTCTCTCCCCATTGCTCCTTCTTTCTGCCTGGGGCACAGCTCACCGTCACAGGTCATGGCTGTGCAGACCCAGTTTCCACAGGCACAGACACAGCGGTTACAGTCCACCTCGGTCTCCGCTCCGTCAGCATACACTTCATCCTCCAGGGCACACTCTGTTGGGACCAGATACCAGGGCGATAGTTTAGGGTGAAGGTAGAACAGAGCATCTTCACTACAGTCTGTGTACCTTACCCTTTCTCCAGACAAGACCTGCGGGTCCCTCATAGGCATCATATCTGAGCAAATGCTACTAACAACCACAGGTTTGGGGACCTGAACATCATCATGGAGATGATGGGCTGGAGCCCACCTAGAACTGTGGAAAGGAATTTTCTTAACAAGCTCTGGAGAGTTCCATCAACTCCAGCCCCATCAAAATGCTGCCATTCCCTGTAACTCCCCGTCTTTGGTTAACCATACTCTTCTCTGGAGGGTTGAAGGATGGGTTGAGGCATTTGAGGAACTCTTGGAAGCTGAGTTTCCAGTCAGCATTTTCATCAGACAGTTCAATGAGAGCGTCGACACAGAGTCCTCTGAAACAAAATACAGGAGAAATGGGTCACTCCTGAAGAAAGGAAATCAGCACCAGGACCACATACACCTGGAGCCCCCAGAGGCGGCCAAGCAAGTGACTGTTAATCGAGAAAGTTTCTCTCTATACTGACCTCCCACAACCACCAACCATCCTGACTCCTGTAAGCACCCAGCCTTCAGTTTGTTATGCCAGATGTCGGATCACTCAAATGTTCCTCCCAAGACAACTACAATTTCCTGAGAGGTTCTGTCCAATTGTGATTGACAAATGTTTCACTACCTGCACACCTTCTACTAGTAATTGCCTTTCCCTATGGTATAAGCCAACCAAACTAGGAAAATCAAGACAGAAGAGAGAGTAATAGATGATATGAAAGGAATGTGGGATCTGAAAGAATGTGGAGTTCAAGCAAGCATCACCATTCTAGAAAGAGATCTTCCAGAAAAGGTTCACAGAATCCCAGCTCCCTCAGTCTCCTGTGGCTGGGATCTGAGCCCTGGCCAAGCACTTACTACCCAAATGGCCTTGAGCTAGTTATTCAGCCCTCCTGTGCCTGCTTTCTCATCTGTAAAGTGGGGACAAGTGGGGACATAATATCCTCCTTCACTGGGATGTTATGAAGAGCAAATGCTGAACTTGTAAAATATTGTCTAACTTTAGATTATCAAAATATGAAGGATTTTCAGATATTATGTGTAGGCCATGGACTATTATGAAGAAGAATCTTTCTAGAATCTCGGCTCATGCTTTGTACTTCTCTTGAATGAAGTGGTGCTTAAACTATTTTTAATTCTTACCAGTGTGATGGAACCACACCAGAAGTTTCATTTTTATTAATATTTACTCTGGAATAATACCAGAAATGGAGAGGGATATATTCACATTTGTAACAATTAGGGTTCTCTATGCGAAATAGCACCAATTATCTTAAAATCAGAACTAAAACTATTTCAGAAGTACAGTTAGGTAATAATACATTAAAGTAATTCCTTCAGAAAATTAACCACTAAAACATTACAACACCCAGAAACAACTTTGCTCTGATGCAATCTTGGTCATTTATTTTAAAATTACATTCTATTCCTTGCAAGTTCTAGCCAAAAACAATAATCACCTGATCAGATACCCATGGTACTCTATTTATTAGTTCATAAAGTTCATAATGTTCACGGAACAGACCAGGACAGAGTTCCTATTTTGCATTTGACTTCAGATTAACACTGGTGGCTCCTTCACTGGTAAGAAGGGTTTCAAATCCCCTCTCTGGTCCAGCCTTCTCCTCATGGGCCCCTCCCTGGCCCTCCCACCCCACTCACCTAAGCAGCTTGTTATTCTCCTGGTCTGCATAGGTGGTGATGTTGATGGCAGTTTCATTCTGCTCCACAAATTTCAGGAATTCACTGGAGTCCAGGCGAGAGTCACCATTATCAAAGCTCTAGAAAGGGGGTGAAGGGATCTTTCAGGAACATTTTGTAGAACCCAGTTCTGGCATTCCTGCATTTAGCTTGACCCACTTCTGGTTCACCTTGTTCTTGACGTGTTCCAACCAACCCTGCTGTGGCTGGGCCTCCAGAGCACTACAGCACCCAAAGCTCAAATTCCTGGGCCTCCAGAGAGAGCCCCAAGAAGAGAGAGTGAAAGTGCCTGGGCAGAGGCTACCCAGGGCCTTCCAAACCCAGACCCTCAGGAGGGCAGCCTGAGCACAGCCTGCAGTGACCAAGAAGCCTGGGGGCTCGAGAGACTCTGCAGACAGTCTGGATGGCACCCCTGGGGTCAGGCCAGCCACCACGCCACATTCTCAAACCCTGACAAACATCGAATAACAAAGCTGTGAGTCAGAACCTCTGCAGCATAGTCCAAGATGTGTATTCCTAACATGCTGCTTGGGAACAATGACAAAGGTGGCCCTCAGAGCTCACAGGACCACTTCTTACTGCTTGATTTCCAGCTTCCCTCGCATGCGCAATGCTTAACTTTAGCACTGGTGCCGCTCATTGGCTGCACCGACAAGGAGTCAAAGGCTAAGAGCCTGCATCAAGAACCTGCAGTCAGAGGTGGTGCAAAGTGCACATCCCTCTGCCCTGCGCTGTGGGCCCCACTGCAGACATGTGCACAGGTCCTCAGCCCACCTGGGGCAGGCTGTCCCCGTAACCCAGCTGACATCCCACAAGCCCAAGGTGAGGGTGCCGTGAGCTCAGGCATTGCTCCCACTTTGTCAAGAGAATAAACCAAGACCTTTTACTCTGGCCTCAGCTGCAGGTGGAGGCTGTCAATTTCAAGGCAGGGATGAAATTCCAAGTTGGACCCTTCTGTTTTCCTAAAACACTTCCAATGGAAAAAAATATTTTCTTTCAAAATCCTTTTCGTAGGCTGCCTCATACTTCTGCCCTAGGAAATAATCAGCACCCCCATGTTACCTTCTGTGTGGCTCCCCAGAGGGTGTGGGGAATTCTGGAAGAAAGGTCTGCCCAGGTTTCTAGGTAGTAGGTAAAGGTACAGCGCCCACCTCTCCTTCCATTATTGTCGTGGGCACATGTATTCCACTCTACCGTGGTAAATCCTTCCATGCACGTATAATAACAGGAATGTGTAAGACAACTATGACGACCTTGTTTAGCACTTATTTATCACTCTTGTCTGAACTCCTAGGAAGAGATCTCACATGTAGTCACTACACATTCACCTTGAGGAAACTTCCCTGAGTATTCACCTGTGTCGCCTTGATTAATTAAGGGAGAGAAATGAAATGAGGTTGGCCGGGTGCCATGCTTAGCAACGTAGAACTTCCTTTGAGTCCAAATGCTGCAAGTGCTGGGCAGACCAGAGCCACTCTTACAGAGCCTAGTCCATCAGGGCCTGAGTTGGACCGAGTGTGGAGAGAAGAACAGTCGAGCGGTGGCTATAGACCCAGAGGGCACCAGGGGTACTCAGAACCTGAAGACTGCAGCTCAGGCAGCCCTCAAAAGGCAGTGCTGAGTGTACTCACTTCACGTTCACTGGGACCAGAATCCAGGCCTGCAGCTGAGAGGGGCCAGCTTGCCTATCTATACTCATTTCATGAGAGCCCAGTTGGGCTGCCCCAGGCCAGGTCTGTATGTGGAACCCATTGGAAAAATGAGGTCTGATACCAGCCCCGGAAACAGCCAGGGATCCCTAGAGGGCCTCTATGCTCAGGGGTCAGGGAAGGATCATGAACTTGGACCGTGAACCAACCATAATTCACTTGGCCTGTGTTCAACCAACCATCTACAAAGGCATAATACTTCCTTATTCCTGCATTTCCCAGCTTTATACTTGAGATACCTGTTTCTTTTGTGTAACCACAGGGTTGTGGAAAGGCAGGCAGGATGTTATGAGACCCATGTTTGAGGTTTACTGCAAGTTTGGAGGTTGCTGAAAGGAGGTGGGCTAGGCCAGGCCCCACTCACGTACAGCGGCTGGGATGATGGAGAACGTAGAACCGGGTAAGGGAGGTAAGAAGGCTGGGTCCAGTCTCAGCCTGGCCACCTGGAGTCTGCCACCCAGAGTCCAGGGGATGTGTGTGACATGGCCACGAAAGGCTCTTTCTACCTGGGTCTTCCCCTCCTCATTCTGCTACGCTTTCACTTAAGATAGAGGGACTGAATCACCAGCTGAGGTGAGAGTCTGATATTAGTCTTAGCCACATTCTGATTAGATTGGCTTTTTAACTAATTTTGCTACAAGGAATGGCAGTGGGCTAGAGGGCAATTCACTGGTTCAGAAACAGTCCCTGTGAGATATCAGATCACTTATCAACAGGCAACAGTTTGCCTGATGGGAGGGAGTCTCCTTTGAAGACTGCACACACAAGTCTCAGGTAATCATCAAAAAGTAGGTAGCGGAGGACATATAAAGAGCTTCCTGGACAAGGAAAAGCTAAAGGAGTTCATCACCCCCAACATGTGCGCAGGATTCCAAAGACTGTACTGCTGGACTCCCACTGATCAAGCTGGTCAGAAGGCCACTGTCACTGCTCCACGGAAGGAACTATGATGAGGAAACACTCAAGGACTCTCACAAGTCTGTATTTCTTTGTGGTGTGGCCATGGGAGAGGGAGCCTCCCTTTCTCTAGGGCTGACCAGTCTTTGGCCCCCAACTTTGGATTACCTTAAAGTACTTGTCCAGGATTTCACTGTAGTTGCTGCCTTTGGAGAACCAGCCGTCTGGAATGATCTCTGCTTCCAGCCACTGGATGATGCGGCGCCGGAGCTCATCACGATTGGACTGATAGCAAACGACTGCAGGAAAGGGAGAGAGGCCAGCTGAGTATCACCTGGGACCCACCATGTGGAAGCCCCGTGCCTGGGGTTCTGAGGGCCGCATTGCACTGAATTCCACAGAGCTCAGGGAAACGGGATGCTTGTGCACATGTCGCAGAGGAGTCCACCTGGGGCACGCACTGGAAATATCTGGCCACTCAGGATTCAAACTCATGTCTCTAAAAATATATATAAAGATCAATAATACTGAAAAAGAGAGACTATGTTGCTTAGGTGAGAAAAAAGGGAAGAACAGCAAAATAAAGGACATTCTCATTAACTTTATGAAACTGAGGGGAAAATAATCAACAGAACAGCTCTCTTGGCTGAAAGATAAGCTGAAATAATAAATGAATAAAGGAGAACATTGCAATTCTTTATGCCACTGGCTTTCTGATCCCCTCTGTATAGCTTTCCTCTCTCTCTCTCACCAGCTGCATCTATCAAAACGTTCTTCCACCTAGAATTCACACCACTGCATCATCCTTTATTACACACAGCAGAATTCAAGGCTAAGGGAGGGCCCCGCTGAAGCTGTGTGAGCAACGAGGAAACAACAGCGGGGCTGAGAGATGGGTGGATGGGGAAGCAGCAAAGAGGAAGACTGGTGAAAGGGAATTCCTGGAAGACAATATGTTAGGATGTGAAAAGGGCACCGAGTTAGTAAATGAAACTCTGGGCACTTTCCCCACTCTGTCACTGTTTAGCTGTGTGATTCAGGAAATTCACTTGGCCTCCCTGAGACTCAGTATCCTCATGCATAACATAATTACAATAAGACCTACCTCACAAGGTTATTGTGGAGATTTAAGGAAAAATATAAGCTAAAGGAGTCTGTAATGATAAATCATGATAAAATTTTACTTTTTATTCATAAAAAATCATAGAACAAATCTTACTGGCATTTCAAATTATCTCCTTTCAAAAAGTTGTGCCTTCTGACTCTGCTTGGCCCATGACAGTGTGTCTTACAGAGCACTGGAGAAAGGACTCAGTGGCTTTCTTGTCCTTGCAGTTCAATCACTACTCAGAAAGCTGCAAAACATAGTCAACATTCTGACCCAACCAGATGCTTCAAATGACAAAAAAGTGAAGTTTTGCAGCTTTCTGAGCTATGTTGAAGAGCAACCAGTTGTACGTCACCGGGGCTGACACATAGAAGATCTTGTGATCTTCAGTGGGGACTGTAGGACATGAAATTTCCATCATGAAAAGAAGTTCCTCCCTAAGACGTACACTGCAGAGAAACAGGCACTCACCGGGGCTGGCAGAGGGACTTACAGACTTCTTCTCTGAAAGACAAAAGGAAAAGAGGCATAATGCAAAGTAAAGAAAAAAGTAAATTTCAGTGTATTACTAGGATTAAAGTTGCGCCACATTAAGGGAGTCACTTGTAACTTTTTCATCATTTTATCTTAAGCCAATGTCTCCTATTCTTCCAAGACCCAAGTTTAGGGGTCTTTTTTTTCCTACTTTGTTTGACATTTTCAGGCCACCAAGGTCCCTCCTGGTCTCGCACCTCATCTTATTAGGCTGAGGAGTGGGGGAGGTCCCGGGGACTTTGATAATTCATGTGGAATCGCTGTGGACATGGAAATGGAGTGGAGACCAACATGTGGGAAACAGCTTCTTATTTCTACAGGGAAGTTCAAGGCTGAGAAAGGCTGGGTCGGGGCTAATGTCTAATGAGCAACAAGTGTGGGACCACTTCCCTCTTATCCTAATGTCAATGGTTTGAGTGTAAAATGCAGAAAATATAATACTACCAGGGCTGAGAAGTACCCAGATTTTAAAAGCATGGAAAAAGTGAAAGTTACCTGCTTTTTAAAAGATACAGAATGCATTTAAACACTTACTTATTGATTGCTGATGTGGCCCCCTATATCCACTATGTAGCTGTAGACAGAGCTGGAAGCTCCTCTGAGGGTCTGATGCAGGGAACCCTGGGCAAAGGCCTGGGCCATCCTGGATGAACCCAGCAGGCTCATGAATGCCAAGAGGGTACACTTCCAAGAACCTGGGTGGTCTCCACAGCTTTGGGTGCTGCGGTCGGGGTGGAACGGACTCCCGGAACCCACACCACACTGCTGTGCTCCCTGGCCCCCTACGGCTGCAGCTGGGATGGGGTGGTGAGAGAACTCCCTACCTTTGCAGTGCCCATCGTAGTCAACTTGGATTTTGGATCCTGTGAGGCAGGCATCTCGATGCAGCTCACAGTGATTGAGGTAGGTCTTGCCATTGCTGCCACACACAGGCCTCTTGTGAGGTTTGCATTGCTGAAACAGAGCGGCAGAGGGTGTTCGTGCTGTCAGGGGTGCCGACACACACAGGAGCGTGCACGCACATGCACACAGACCCGTCTGGTGGGGACTCCCCACCAGCAGAGCTGGCCTCTATTCAACCAGGGCAGAGGGAGCCTTGGCTGTGGCACCTGTGACCCCACTCAGTGTTGAAGACACCTTATCACTCTGCAGCCCCATGTGGCCCTGTGTGCCAGTCTGGGTTCAGGGTCATCTCCCCTATTTGGTGAAGGTACAGACCCCTGCCCCACCCGGCGTTTTTATTAGAAGTCAGGAATTTGGATTTTTCTTCACTTTGTCACTTTGTCACTTTTTACAAAGTCATTCAGTGTATTTGGATGATCTAAGATCCCTTAAAATTCCAGCATTCTAAGACACAAAACAGCCAGTGCTGAGAGCTCAAAATGTGGAGGCTGAAAGGCAGGTAAACGCCCCAATTCTTCAACTCTTCTGGGGATGAACCACAAGAATCTTTGCTCTTATGTTTTGTTTAGTATTTTGGGGCCATTGTGTTTTCCTCCTAATCTTAGACTGCCTGTTGTGTAGCTGGGGTGGGGGTGCCTGGGTCTTGGTAAAGAACTACAGAGAGTCATTACCAACAGGGAAATGCCCTAAAGTTCACTTGGCAACTCAGGTCTGCTTTGGCTATTTAAAGTGCCATGGTCACAGGCAAGCTCAGTTTCTTAAGACTTTTGTGGTATTTGAAAGGCGAGAGAAGGAAGCAAGTTCAGCTCAAGCCTAATAAAAGCACTGAAGCAAGAGCAGATGCAGCGAAAAAAAACTCAGATCACAAGCTGGGAGGTAGCCCAACCTTTCCAATCAATAGGCAAGAATACCAAAGCCAGAAAGGCGAACTGCACCCAACCAATTCTTAGTACTGAGTTCTTCTGTGTGCTGGGCACTGGGCAAAGCCAAATACAGTCTCTGTCTTCAGAGCGTCCAGTGGCAACAAGTTTACTCAAAAGTCACACCACTGTTCATGGTCAAGGTGAGACCAGAGGCCAGGTTTCTGAACCCTAAGTCTGGGCTTAAGCCACCACACAGTGGCCAGAGCACCCCCAGTGAGGCCCTGCCAGGCTTCCTGGCCTGCCTGTTTTTCAGGTTTCTAACCCCAGGGACTTCCTGCTGGGGCAAGGGACCAGGATCCTTCACCTGGGGACTAAGTTGGGTGTATTTATTTGCAGAAAGACAGAATGATTTTGACAGAAGGCGGGGAAAGGGCACACAACTAGGGTACTTTTGTTTGCCAAACGGGTGAAAACTTATCAGAATCCTGCCTAGGAGAGTAGTATTTCTTGAAAGCTCACTTTTTGCTTTTTATAGTTTATTTCAAACCAAAGCAAACCTGAAAACCTGCATTCTATTTTTAAAAATGTACATATCTTAGCAAGCCCTAGTGGGAATCAATCCTATAGCAATAAAGACAGCAACAAAGGTGTTATTATTTAGTGGGAAATTAAGTGTCTATCTATAGGAAAATGATTACATAGATCTGGTTCTTTTATACCACTAAAGATTAAAATGTTAAAAAGTGAGTTAGAACTATACATGCGGATCTGCAGGGCTTTCCATGGTATATGAATGAGTACAAAAATGCAAGTTGCATATATACATATCTACATATTTATGTTATGATCCCATTTTTGTATAAAATAGATGGAAACCCTCTATGTTTATAGTAGCAAAGGGAAAAATGTGGAAATATATACCACATTGTTAACACTGGTTAACTCGGACTAACAGGATTTGAAGGTTATACAGAAGATTATTAATACTGTTTGTACAAATATCTGTACTTGGCTGATTTTGTAATTTAAAAACCTGATAAAGCTAAATGTTTTTCTAAAAACGAAAAAATATCCCTGCATTCACATCTGATTTTTAACTCTTGGGATGAAAATTCTACTCTGTTCAGATAGACAGGGTGTGCTTTCACAGAGATGATGAAATTGTTGACACTGCTGTGCCAGCTGGCATGTCCAGCAAGATGGCCACACTGGCCTTGGCCCCTCTCCTCTGGCTCCTGACCTCAGGACTTACCTCGATGCAGAGGCAGGTGGGCTCTCCCTTCTCTGTGACTGCACATTCCCGGCCGGCTCCACAGAACACATTGGCACAGATCTTGGATTTGCTCCTCAGTTCTTCCTAAAACACAGAATCATAAGAAAACCACGTTACTGAAATAAGCCCATCTTGGGATGGGCCAATGGTGGGGATTATCTTTCAAGCCCAGGGCTCCGCCTGGAGTCAGGGCTCATGGTGTTGAAGGGTTCTGAACGGCCAGAAGCTTCCCCAGCAGCCAGCATCAGCCTTGCCAGCACTGCCCCAGCCCAGGCCAACTCTGAGTCCCTAAGACTGTTTCTTAAAGAGCAAGAGCTCCTTTCTTGCACACTCCCTTTTTTCTAATAATGTTTATCAGCTAATATAATATTATCCACTATTTGCCAACATTATGCTAAGGAATGGAGATACAAAGGCACAGTCCTTGACCTCAAGAAGCTCCATGGTGCTCTGAGGAAACACAAGTAAAGAGCTCTTTACAACGCAATATGGAAGTGCCAGGGAGCTGGAGGGGAAGAGGGTGAGAATCAAATGAGACACTCTGACATAGGAGACCTTAACTGATTCCCAAAGGATGAGAACAAACCAGGCAGAAATTTAAGGACCAAAATCTCACTAAGCAGTGTTCAAGGCCATCATAATCTCAAAAGGCGAAAGAAAGTTGGCTACGCCAGGGAAGCAGGGTCTCATTCAGCCCTGCCCATATCTGCCTCTAGCTTCACCACCAGGGAGGGCCAATCTGACGAGCCAGCCATAGAACTATCCTCAAACCTCTTAGGGCCAGATTTCCTGTTCAGACAACACACCAGAACTGAAAGGCAGGAGAGGGCTTTAATCTATGCCTCTGGGCCGCTGCCCACTGGGGCAGCATTGCCTGTGACAAAACAACAGTGACGGTAGGAGCTGTGATGAGATCACGGGATTGGCTGTAGTAAAGGTGGAGATGAAACTAAGATTCTACTCTTCCGGTCACGTCTCGTATAGCATGCGGGGAACTCACACTCACAAACTCACTTCTAACAGTAAATTCTTACAGCTGGTAAAGGTTTTTCATCCGAGAATAAGTCAAAGCAAAAAACAAAGTAGATATTCAGAGCTGTGGGGCTGTGTCCAATACAGCTGGTCTGCTGCCACCTGGAGGTTGCTTTGCAAACTCCACATTATTATTTTCTCTCTGAGCCGGCTTGCATGTCATACAAGGCCCCTATTGGTCTAGAAACTGTTGCCACGCTCCCATTTCATTGGTTCACATGCTGTTGTTACACCCATTCTCTTTGGATGTTGCTAAGGCGAATTCAATAAAGCTGGCAGTCAGGGAAGAAAAAGGAAGTAATTCCCAGAAGGCAGGGAGGGCTACAGAGCTGTTGTTTCCTAAACCAGGAATGGAGATAAAAAGAGAGCACATTTCCCACACAGAGCAGCCCTTTTGGAAACTGTGTCTGGGAATAGAAAGCAGATCCAAAAAGGAAGAAGAAAAGGCTATCACTAATACAAAAAAAATCTCAGATAAGACTCTTCTTTCCCTTTCAGGAAACAACCCACTAACAGAGGGATACAGACAAATATATAACTGTCTGTGGGTGTGTCACACAAGTTACAGACACACACAAAGATGCATAAAATGCATGATGGGACATATGCCTACACTCAAAAGACACAGCTCCACAACCTTTAGCACTTAGCTGCATACTGTAACTAGGCACTTTAATTCTTTGAGCCTCAGTTTCCTTCTCTATAAAATAGGGATAAATACCAACCCTGTCCTGTGAAGATGAAAGGAAATAATATATTTGGAAGTGCATCACAAACTGTAAAACAAACTGCCTATGAAAAGTGTTATTAATGTTAATGCTTATAGAGTTTCCTGCAGGGATAGTCTGTGGCATTTATGGAGCCTCTTGCCTATTTTTTAAAAATCTTATGTTGTTGATTTTAATGCATATTAAAAATAAAAGCTTTTAGTTATAGGTTGAACTCAACCCAAGTCATTTTTCAGAAATAGTTCTTGGAAATCCATAAAAAAGAGATACTCTTTATTTAAAATATAAGGACTAATACTTGAATAGTACAATTAAAATTTTTGAAATGTTTTCATACATATGATTTCATCTTACTGTGTGGACCTCCCTGAAAGAACATGCATGTTATTGACCCCATTTTATAGAAAATTAAAGATCAGAAAGGTCAAGTAACTTCCCCAAGGCCTCAGAGCTAGAATGAGGGGAGCTAGGTTCCCAGATCCTCAGACAACAGATGATTAAGCTCCCATTTATACATATATGGCACCTTGCTAAGAGATTTTTATTATACATTATCCTTTTAAAAATTTTTATTTATTGATTTGAGAAAAAGAGAGAGATTTGTTCCAATTATTTATGCATTCATTGGTTGATTCTTGTATGTGCCCTAACTGGGGATAGAAACCACAACCTAGGTGTGTTGGGACGATGCTCTGACCAACTGAGATACCTGGCCAGGTCCTATACATTATCTTTGTTAAGCTCTACAACAGCACCATAGATTCAACATCATAATTATCCCCATGCTACAGATGAGGGAACTAGGCCTTATCAGTTTACTAACTAGCTAGCCAGTGGCAAAGCTACAATTCTACCAAACCTAAAGGACAAGTTCTTTTATATTTATTTTCATACCCAGAAGACTTAAGGTTAAGGAAATTGTAATGAGGATGTGATTTGCATAGTTAGTAAATGTCAGGAGAAAGTGCTTAACACTGCGAGAGTTAGATTTGAATTCCCACATCCCACCTCTGCTCCTTAGTCGCCTCCTAGTGAGCCAGGCACTACCTTTAAACCTCAGTTTCCTCGTGTATACAGAGAGAACCCTGATCCTTACATGGGCCGTGTGCGGATTAAATGAGATGTACCGCATGGAGCAGGGTGCCTGCCACACAACTGAAGGTGGCCATGATTACACTGCGAAACTGAGTTTCAGACCGTTTTCCCCGAGATGCTGTTACCACTTTGAGCCGCCACGTCCCCACCCATCCCCCCTTGCACTGGAATAACAATTCTGAGAGTAGGACACACTGAATGGGAAAAATAAAGGGCCTACCAAGCCCTGTTTATTGTGTTTGGAGACCGCAGAGAGATGCTAGTTACACAAGCATTCCTCTGTGCAGATGGCGTATCTGTCAATAGGTGGCAATCTCTCTCTTTGTCTCACAAGCCCAGAGCCGCAATGCGGAGAGCAGCCCCGGCTCCTGCGGCCCCTCCCAGCTCTGCCTCCCTGAGAGGTGCGGTAGGAGGTGGAAGACTGGGGCTCGTGCCCCACAAGCACTGGCAGCAGGAACCAAGAACTGGGGATTTGTCAGCTTGGGAGAGAATGTCTTTCTTGAAGCCCTCATCCTCCCCAATTCTTCCTATTCACAGGCACGCTTTAGTGCAGAAATCAACAACAAAGAACATTTTCTCCCAAGACAGGGCTTCTTTGTGCCATGGAAAGCCCTTCCAAGCTCCATCTCCTCTAGCAGCAGGAGTGTCGGGAGCATTCCTGAAGCTCCTGGAAGTCCCTTAGGGTGGTCGGTGGTTCTACCCATCTGGCAGGGAGGGACATGGTGAGGGAGAGATGGGGTGGGACAGCAGGTGTTGGGGAGCAGATCTCACCAGCTGATCTGAGGGATTTCCCATGGATCTGGTGGGCAGTGAGGACCTTGAGAAGGTTGGAATGGGGCTGGTGATATGATGAATGTGGTGACTTGGACCACTGTGTCTAGTCCCTTCCAACTTAGAAATTGACTCCAAGTGTAGGGCAGCCTGGAGGGGGAGGGTGAAGGCAGGGAAACCTGCCAGTGTAGGGCAGAGGTCTTGTGGGGGGTGAATGGCCAAGGGCTGGATGCTGATATTAATTAGAGCACCTACGACTGAGTGAGGCTCTTCAGATATCTCTGTCCTCAAAACATTTATGCAGGTTTCCATATTTTTCATCCCATGTAACAGACAGGGAGGAACTTAAGATTCAGAAGAGCTCTGTGATGCACAGAGGCCGTATAACTAGTGGCAGCTGAGTCAGGATTCTGACACAGGTCAGCCCAGCTCCAGAGCCTTGATATTCCTTTACCAAGAACATTCAAGGGAGGGAGCTTGAGAGAGGATACAGCTACCAAGGCCAGCATAGGGAGAGGTCACAGGGCTCAATGCAGTTCTCACAGATGAAACAGAATTACTTGCTTTACCACCATAACAATTTTAGGAATTAGGTCCCAAGGCTGTAGGAGAATTTCATCTACATACAGGTAACCATATTTGCATATGAACATTCCCTAGGAGGGTGAGGTCACAGGTATACAAACACATCAGCTTGAATGTACCTGTCAGAGTGTGATTGACTAGGGGGAGAGGGTGTGTTCTGGAAGTTTGGACACCCTGATACATTGATAAAAACCAACAAAATACTTGCTTCCAATGGAGAAACATCAGGTTTCTAGCACGACCCATCTACACCATCTCCCTACTTGCTTCTATGTTGTTTTCATTATGTGCTGCAGGCCATGCCCTGGGGGTCTGGGGTCATGGTTAAGTTTCACAATGTAAATGGTGAAGACTGACCGGAACATCGCTGACCTTTACCAGGAAAAAACTTCCTCTCTGAGCAACAGCCTCTGCATAGCAATAAGTGATACTTTACATTTGCACCAAGAATTTTGATTAGTCTACAGTTTTTACTATCATTTTTGATTTTCAAAACCTTTGAGGATAGGCAGGCAGGGCTTCTCTCTCATGCCCTTCCAGATGTAACACCTGTGATGGAGAAGAACCCGAGACGCAGGGACGGCTGGCTGCGTGGGACTGATCCACGACCTCACGGGGCCTGGCCTGAGGGCCCCGACTTTCATCCAGCCCTGTCCACTAAACCACTCTGTCTTGGATCCAAGGCCTAAAGAAACGGGAATTATTTTTGCACCTGAAAAAGCAAGTTATTTGCAAAACCACCACTAGAGGCGATAGTGTGTCTGAGTCTCTGGGCTGACCAGCATTAAGTCTGAACATAAAATACACTTTGAATGTTTTTAAAAAGTCTTCTGAAGTAAAACAATTTCTGGAAGAACAAAGTGCTTTGGCAGG